GACTAGGGGTATATGAGTGGGGCTACATAAGCTACTTTTGCCAAAAAAACTTAATAAAGCAATCGTGTCGAAATTGTGCCTGGAGATAAGAACTCGCTACCCAGTCAGACAACAATTTAACATAAATCGAGAACAGGCCAGTGTGGGCTTTTAGCTTAAAGTCCGGATTAACCCGAGTCAGAAAAGCTCAAAGGCAAGAGGTTAGTGCCCACAAATGAAGTAAAATTTGAAGTGCGCAACGTCGAATATAAAAATGTATACAGAAAAGGAGATAAAAGATGTTGGTGGCACTTACTCTGAGGTAGCGGAAACGGCAACGGTGGGATCAGCAGTGTGGCCGACAAAGTCGGACCAGTCGACGACCGGCGTATTGACCCAGAGGCGCAGTAGTTCGTCGTACGCTCTCTGCAGCGAGTTTATGAGAAATTCATGAGAGGAGTTTTGTGGTGTAGATGGTGGCAGCAGAACAGAGGCCGGTTCGGCAGCGCTGACAGCAGGGGTTACGGGCGGCACGCCAAGGGAGGCCGGTCTCGGACTATTTAGGCTGAGAGCTGCCAGAGTCTCCTGCGTCTCGCGAAGCAGCGGATAATGAGGAGATAGGGCTGAGAAGGTCAGACCTGTGGAGAGGAGAAGAGGAGGGTTGCCATGGAGAGTGAGGTGCATAATAAATTGCATAACAAATCTGATGAAAATCCCAAGGATTAAGGTGCCAGACGAGCGCCGGGCTGATTAGGTGGGCGAGGGGAACGGAAGAGATCGTATAAAGCCCGCAACAGTTATAGTCTTCACCAGCCCGATCGTAACCCGCATGGCAACGAGCCCTAGGCGGAGTTGTTAGAGCTTTGGACTTCTAACTAGCAAGATCGCGGCTACGAAGCTCGGGTGGGACACCTATTTCTGGGTCCCACTTGTGTTTGGGTTGGACTGGCTGAAGACGGCTAATAAGCCGGCAATAGCCATCGTAGTCTCCCTTGTCTTTGCCGGTAATGTCCTTATGTATATATCATTAGACACCTTGTGGCGTGACTCGAGAGAAGGAGCTCCAAAAGGCACCAAGGACGGATGATTGTATCCTTTAACAGATCGGTGTGCATGTATCTGTCACTATATATCCCTGGTCAAAAACCAGCAAGATGGTTAAAACGCTGGACTTCTAACTAACAAGGTTGCGGGTTCGAGGCTGGGGAGCGGACACCCCTGATGTTGCGAATGGCTAAAGTGATGGCCACTGCAGTCTCTCTTGCCCCTGTCAGTAATGAATTTCTGCCTATAAGACGCTGGGCATTGAGTGGCTATTGGCGGAGCTGGGGAGTGAACCACAGTCACAAAGTCGCTATGTGACTCCTTTTGTGGGCTCTAATTGTGTGCTCCAGGGCGAAGCGCAACCTAATTGTTCCTCTACCCGATCGGCGATGCCCATATATTCTTCATATTCCCGACCTCAACCGACAAAGTAACGAGCCCGTGGTGTAATGGTAGAGAGCTAAACTCAACGAGCAAAAGTCCCGGGTTCGAATTTCAGGGGATCCGACGCCTGAGATTGGGTATGACTGGCTTATGACGGCTAACAAACCAGAAACGGCCACTCCGGTCTACCTTTGCTTTAGCGGATCCAATTAAACATCCGATCCTCATAGTCGCTATGTAATTGCCTGCACGGGCTCTAATTGTGAGCTCCAAAGCGAAGCGGAACTTAATTGTTCCTCTACTAGATCGACGATTACCATACATTACTCATCTTCCCGATCTAAACGGAGAAAGCAACAAGCCCGTGGCGCCGAGGTGGAGTATTAAACTCAATGACCAAAAGTCCCGGGTTCGAATCTCGGGGGTTCCGACCCTTGAGATTTGGTATGAT